AAAATAGCCTGAAGTAATGTGTCTAATCACTAATGTTTTATATTTATATCTACTATATATAATCTCTCTCATTAATTAGTATGATGTAATATTTAATGTTTTGTATTATTCATACATATTTTTGTAGATATACACCAATTCATTTGTCCAACTGTTGTATAAATTATCATATTATAAATGGATCAATCTTAGACTTTTCCAGCAGTACCAGTTCCTTTTGATTTTGGGGTTCCATTTAACAGTCATGGTTAGTCTTTTTGTATAAAAAATATAGAAATATTAGTTAATATTATATAGCTAATCAAGTATAATCGATATTAAACTAACAACACATTGTCTGACTGCCTAAGTAAATTATCATATTATAAAAAGATCCATCTTAGGATTTCATTTAAGTTCTAGAGCACCAGTTACTTCTAATCTTAGGGTTTCATTCAATATCAGGGTTAGTCTTTATGTGTGTTGACATATTATTAAAGAAATCAATTCTTAGCAACGACCGATTATATGTTGTTGTTTTTATGTGTAAGTAATCGATAAGAGATGTGCATTGGCATGTTCTTAAATTTTATTTTATTTTTATCATGACCAATTGTATGTTGTTACGCGTGTAGTAATAGGTCAAGAGAGTCAAGGTCAACATTTATTGTATGTTGGCATGTTAAGTAATAGATCAAGAAGAGTCAAGGTCAACATTTATTGTATGTTGGCATGTTCTCAAAGAAATCGATTTTTAGTCACGGACAATTATGTTGTTTGTTTCGTGTGTAAATAATAAAAAAGTGTTGAAAATATTAGTTTGTGGGGATGACGAGTTGCTCAGTTATTGAACAAATAATGTTGTGTATAAGAAAGTTTATATAATATATATATTTTATTTTTTTGCATGAGGAACATTTTATGATTTGATAATTTTCCTACGAATTATCACTCTTTTATTTATTAATATATTTTAATTTTTAATATTCTCCAAAGTAAATACAGCCCGTGCATCGCACGGGTTACATACTAGTTATGTACAAACATCCAAAATATTACAATTAGTGCGTTAAAAAAAACTTTTAAGAGTTTTTTTAAAAAAAGTGTGTTTAAAGATTTTATTTCAAATAACTCTTGATTCATTGTACAAAATATTTGTCGAACTTCTATCTAAATTATTATATTATAAAGAATTAAAATATCTATAATACATATTGTTATAAATAAAGATAAAACAAATAAGTTTAGAAAATTAAAGTATTCGTAATATATATTGTTACAAATTATGATGACAAACAAACAGGTCATCTGTCAACTATTAGTGAAATAAAGAAAAATAAAATATCGATCTCTCTCTCTCTATATATATATATATATAAAATATTTGATTATTTTTAAAATTGTAACTATTTCCTATCAAAAGAGTTCTATTTACTATATCTATAAATAAATCAATTAATATATGTTATAAAGTGGGTGAAGTTATTTTTGGTATCTATGGTTGTTCATATCAAAAGTAAATAGATCAATATATGGTAAAAAGTGGACACAATTATTTTTTGTGTTTGATGGTAATTTCTATTGGAAATAAATCAATCAATGTAATATAAGGTGAACAAATTTATTTGGGTTGTTTGATTTTTTTTTTCTTTTGCTGTAGAAAATTTGTTGGAAAAGTAATCAATATATTGTATACATTTTGTATGAAATGCGCAGACCAATAAATTGGTTTTTTACGTGGGTCTCACTTTTTATTTTATTTTTTTTTTCAAATTACAGTAACTCCGGTAAAATAATATGCATGAATATTTTGATATAATGTGCGCGTCTCGATGTTCTTTTTTCACATAAAATGTTATGGTCAATTTTTCTATTTTATAAACAGAGATCTCAATTTAATTCATTTTCTTATTACGTCATTTTAAATTCTTTTTTTTTTTTTTTTTTTNTTTTTTTTTTTTTTTTTTTTTTTGTGAAATGCATTGTCCAATTTTTTTAGCATATTCTCACAATAACTTGCCATAAGATATTGTTTGTCCCATTTTTATGGTCATTTTCGTCAGTATTTTGTGTGTCGTTTTCCCCGTTTTAGGTCATTTCTTAGGATTTTCTGGTCCTTCTAGTCGTTTCTCGTGTTTTAGTATTATTTTGGTGTGTTTAGTATTTTCTGTGTTTCCTTTTATATTTTTCTTGTTTTTCGTGTTTTTTCCGGTTGTGGAGGTTTCAGGTTTCAGGTGAGGAAAGCGGTATTCGGTTCCAGTTCCTTGGAGTTTCACACCCGTTCGTGCGACCAGAGCATGCAGAGATTGAGTTCATAGCTCGGGCAGAATCCGAGAAATGCCAGCCGAGAGCACACGAGCCCGAAATATCAAGATTTTGGAAGCAGCCCAGACCTTAGCGCCACTAAGGCTGGCCCAGCTAGCGGCGCTACCCAGCTTAATGACCCCCAGCAACTCGACTTTCTTCACCCATAGAGGCGCTAAGGGGTTAGCGCCGTTAACCCCTATTTTGTAACAGTAGCGGTTTTCTCGTGATTTGGAATTGGGTATGAATAGGATCGAGCTTAGTGCATTTTATCATTATTCCAGACTTGTGTTTTCGTTCTTTTCACTGCTAGAATATATTTTCACTTTGGTTTTGCTTATATTTGATTTTGGAGAGTGAAAAACTCCCTTTTATCTTTCGGATTTGGATTGCTATTGAGACTTGACATTGAATTTCGCATTAATAGTAACCTTTCTTTTCACTTTCATTGATGAATGTTATGGCTTTGTTTGATGAGAATATGAATGTTGAGTTTATGATGAGTAGCTAAATTCGTAAACTAGGGTTAGGGGATAATTGTTCTAGTTCAATTTCGTTTGTGTGAATGTTGATTGCTCAATCTATACGAGTTATGTTAAACCTAGGGTTAGATGATTGATCACCATCTTAATTCATTTATCGATTTTAGAACCGAAAGGGGAGAAATCGATCGATCTCGGTTCGTTTAAAATAGACTTATTCGGAAACGTATTGTCTATGTGCTAATTGATTCGATAATTGTTCGTTTATGTTTATTCTCTTGTTTCGTGAGATATTGAGAATGAATCTCTAGATGAGTTAGTTTTTCGAGTCCTTTAGCCGAGTAGTTGATTACCCGTTCAATGTATTTGAAACCGGAAGCGGTTGCCCCTGATGCCCTAGCCCTTTTATTACTATTTGGATTTGTGTTTCGAGCTGTGAGTTTGGAATAGCTAGCATTATTTCTATAATTCGTGGTTGATAAATCAAATCAAGTCAATCTGATTAGAGTGTTAGGACTTTGACTTCTCTTTTGTGATTGAATATTTGCACAATTTAATCCGGCCAACCTTCCTTGAGAGACGACCCGGTGTTTGAATCTTTTGATTTAACTCCGGTAAAAATACTTACAACAAATATGATGATAATTCTGCAAATTGTACTACATGTTGATTTCATATTTTTAATTTACAATATAATGTAATGAACATTTGTAATTCATAAATATCAATGAATATCTATTCAGAGATTCATACTAGTAATTATTATATAATACAATAATTAAAAACATGATTACAATTTAATTAACCAATATGTTCAAAAAATCATTGATTAAGTTTAAGCTATTGGTTTCGAAAATTTTTATTGGATTGTTATGGAAAAGGCAGACAATTCAAATAATTTATTAATTTTTTTACTAGAAATTATATATATGTATATATATAGAGAGAGACATTATTTATTTATTGATTAGTGAGTTGTTTAAGTTTTTTTTTTTTTTT